TGTTGCCCTTTTGGAAGATCGAATCACTTTGAAAAATGGTATTCTTTGCTATTTTGTGGACTGTTTGGACTTACAGAAATGGTATTGTCTTTAATAAAGAAAGATGGGGGGATGGTAAGGTTTTGGATCTTATTTGGCTCAAGTTAGGCAAACTGGTCAGATCTTTCATTCTCTATCAATGAATTTATCCTAAATCCTAAAACATGGGCCACTCCAAAGCTTGCTGCTCCCAACAGCACTCGAGGCACCTGGGTTCCCCAGGATGTGGATGTGCTAAAATTCTACACGGATGGGACGGTGTCTGGGAATTTTAATCCTGCAGGGACTGGAGGTTTACTTAGAAATTATAATAGTAGATGTGTCTTGCAATTTTCAAAATTTATTGGGTTTTCCGATCTTTTATCTGCAGAGTTAATAGCCATTAAAGAAGAGTGCTTGTTATTCTTCGAGTCTGATTGAATTAGGATGTTTGATCTAATTTTTGAATCTGATTGTAGAGTTGTGATGCATTAGATAAATAACTCTGTGGTTGTGCCTTCAGATTTTAGGTTGTTAGTCGAATCAGGTAAAAGTGTCATGGCAAGCTGCGGGGATCCATCAATTGGGCCGGGAGAGAAGGAAATGTGAGTGCTGGCATTCTGGCGAGAAAAGGGATTAATAAGAGGGTTGATATGTTTCATTATCTGCGCGAAGACCAGTAGCCCCGTTGTATGACTCTCCTGATGTTTTCAGGTTCCCCTAGGGTGCGTTATCATTAAAGCTGACAACTTAACCAAAGACAGGTCTTTTGGTCTCAAGTGTTGAAGGAATGGTAACTCAAGTGTTCGTAAAGCTCTGATGCGGGCTATTAGACCGCTTACCTGGGTTTCTTGGTAGCATCGTCTCTATTGAGATACTTATGAAGCTTGCCTAATGTCGTCATACCCATGTTTTATATTTTGCCAATACTTGTATGCATTATAGGTCCGATTTTTGGGTCCTTTGTAGGTTGTGTTTGAAGTGTTGCAGGGTTATCTTTGTGCCTAGCTCATGTTGTTGGCTTTCTCTCTGTGACATGCATTGCTATATTTCTTGGGATTTGTTTTCACTCAGCTGTTAGGTTGTGTATGAAGCATAGTATTAAATTGCGGCCGCAACATGTTATAAATTACGCCGCGACAAACTTAAAATTATCCAAAATATAAAATTACATGGATGAATTGTTTTAATTTAATTCTTAAAAATATATTATAAATATATATCATTAATAATATCGTAATAGTTATGTTTAAAATTAGTTATTTAAATTTGAATTAATTAAATTATTTATTTATGTTATTGTAAAATTAAATTATTTTAAATTGAATATTTCTCATAACTAAAATTGACATAATTAATTTTAAATTAAGTAACATAATTATTTATTTATTTATTATTATATAGATTTTATATAAAAAAAAAAGAATCCACTGTTATAATACATGTATTTTATCTTTTTACTATAAAATTATAAAACTTTATCTAATCTATAATATAAAGAATAAATAAATAAATAATGTTATAAATAAAGTAAAGAAAGAAATATATTCTTGGACAAATTTTTTGATTAAAAAAAAAGTAAAAATGTGTAAGTGTACAAAGTACTACTAACTAAAGCAAATAGTGTGAAGTTTGTTTGTAAGTGGTATATATTAATTGAAAAAAATAACACACAACAAAACATAGAACCAACTGGCAGATAGTTTTTCATAGCATTTTCTCTTTACTTCTTTCTCAAAAGTTCTAATTTCTAAGAGTGTTTCTTCCAAAATTTTCAATTTTCTCTCACCATTTCAAGAGATTACTTTTCTTCCTTTCATTTTAACTTCAAGACTTGTGTTCAACTCAACATTGAAGTGAAACATACAAGTTATTTTATTATTATCTTGTTTATTATTCATTCAAAAATTATATTTATCATAAAAGTTGAATATAGAATTGTTATATGATTATAATAAAAACTCTTATAAAAATATATTTATGTTTTTTTTTTGTAGCTGAATGGTGGATTAATTATTAAAATTGTGCACCGCAACTTCACCACATCGCTGTCAAAATTTTGAGTCAAACAATTTTTTTTCAAGTTTTGAGCGTAATTAAAGTATATTTAGTTTGATTTATACAAAGAAGAGAAATAGTCTAAAGCATAGAAAGCTTCAAATTTTGGTTTATGCCCATTATAATATGACGTTGAAGCTAAGACATATGGAAAGAAAAAGTACACAAGAGTTAGAATTGGGTTTTAATCTGATTAATTTTGAAAATATTTTTCAAGAAGATGATCTACTAAATGCATGGATTGAAGAAAGAGATGATGCTACGCTTGATAGTAAATAAAATTTCTCATGGTTGACTGAAGAGTTACTTAATGAAACTGATGAAGAAACTCAAGGTGAAGATATGAATTGTTCACCTACTCCATCTAATAAGGAAGATGTTCAACTATCGACGTCAAGTGACGATGATGATGATGATGGTGATGATGATGGTGGTGGTAGTGATGATCATGGTGGTGATAATGAAGGTACGTACCAACCAGAATATGAACACATTTATTCTAATACTTTTCATGGAGATCAAGGTACGTCCAGATATCCTCATGCTGATAATTTAGGTTTGTATACAACAAATGCATCACAAAATAGAAGTGATGATGATAATAGAACTCATAGGAGGATGAGAGAACACTTTTATGATTCATTTGTAGGTTCATTGTCATATAATTCATCTACAAATAACAATGAAATCAGTGAATCGTCTTATGGTTCCCATTCTTATCAACCAAATGCATATTATCCACCTTACCATGAACAAAATCCAAGTTATGGATTTTTTGGTCATTATTTATTATACAACATGTTTCTTACCAATGATGCATCTTATGATGCACATAATGTAATGTGTTCTGCACATAATGATGAAGATGGAAATGCTTTAGATCCGCCACGCCATTCATTTTGATGGTGGACTATAGGAAATAAAATTTTTATATTTGTATTTATGTATTTTTTTTCATTCTAAGTTATGTAAAATGAACTATTTTATGTTAAAATATGAGCAATTTGATATGTTTTTAGTGAGAATATTTATGTATTATTCATTAACATTATAATTGTTATTACTCATTATCCAATATGATAGCACTTGTATGATTTATATTTGTTTTTAATAATTTTTATCTATGAAGTTAAATTTTTAATTTTAAAATAAAATATTAAAAGAGTATATTAATATTAGTATATTAAAAGATAATTGTAAAATATATAAATATAATATTTTAGACCTATTGTGATTTTTAAGGAAGAAATCACGTCCGCGATAGTCACGACACGTCCGCAACATCCACAATCGCGATTCGATACTATGTTATGAAGCTGATATTATTGTCATGCTTTATGCAATCGTCTTTACTATTCTTGGAGTGATGTTGTATTGATGTTTCAGACTATAGTCAACATGTTGGTTTGTCAGAAGTTTCTAAATCTCTAAGTTGCATGTTAGACCTGCGATGATGTTGTGTTTCACAGATACTTTAAGGTTCATTAGGAGTGGCTGAGATGTCCCTAGGCCATGGCTAGGCATTGAATGTTGTGATGATGGGTGTAGTTCACTGTTTCTGGCTTGTTTTGAATCTTAATGCTACAGTGGTTTTGATTGTTTTGTTGTAGCTGTGTGATTTAAATCCTGTATCGAACGCTTATTTTGTTGCTCGTGTTTCACTCTCCGTTGACATGAGGTATAGTTTAGACTGATGATGGCCCTAGATGTGCATATTGGACTACTAATGTAAGTATTTTGTGGTTGTGTTGGTGGTGTACCGTGTGAGTGTCATTGTCATTGTCATTGGTAATATTCATTATCGATCGATCGTATTGTATCGTTTGATTTTGATTTTAAATGCTCTTTTTCCTTCATCTAGAATTAAGGAGGTTTTTAATGAGGCGTCGAACGTTACCGTTGTTATTGTTTGTTTTTGTGATATTAATAACATACAAGACATCCTTTTTCCAAAAAAATAATAATAATTTTCAGTTCAAGTTGAATTTCTCAATTCTACATAACATGTGTATATCTTATATAAAAATAATATAAAGAAATATATGTATATCGTATACAGTTATAGAAAATCGTTTAAATTATAATAAATTAGTATCATAATATTATAAATATTTACAATTAAATTCAAATAAATACTCGATTAATTTAACTCTATTAAAAAATATAAATTATAAACTATAACTCATCAATTGAATTAATTTAAAAAAATTAATTCAATTCGATTAAATACTCACCCTTAATTATGAATTTGCACGGGCAATGACTCATCCAGGGAAATCGAAAGGCAGACAGTCCCGTTGACATGCATATGTCTGCCATTAGACTAAATTCGATCCACGTTGCCCCTGCTAAGAAAGGGGCCATGGATTTCGCCTTTATTAAAATATAGTATTGTATTTTCTTCATTGCATTTAAATAGCATGGATACATATTTATGGCTCTCATCCCATAATTCTAGAATGTCAACAGATCACAGATTGGCAACAAACCCTAAGAAATAGTTAGTAAGACGTTTGTAAAAAAGAGAGAGAGAGAGAGGAGGAAGACACGTGTCAGAAATGGTAGGTGGGGTACAAGTAAGGGCAGAAATTTCTTTTTCAATTTTAACATATAAACAATTGAATCTAAATTTAAGTAATGTTCTAACTGATGACCAAAAATAGTACAAAAGAAATCAATTGTACAAATTAAAAGGTAGAAAGGGACAAACGCAAACGACCGGCATTCTCCACCTGTCCTCAAGCAACGGGAATATTCCACTTTTAAATTATCTAGGAGAAAAAGGACGAATATTCCCCAGAGATCGCGATGTTTCTCAGACCGGTTTTAAATTCCCATCGTCCCATCTCTGTTCTTCATGTCATCTTGTGAAACATAAACAGTTCCGATGTCTCTTTCCATCGTCGTCTGATCCTTTCTTCAATCACGAATCTTAGCCAAGTCAAGGCCATGAAGGTTCTGAAGGCGGTTCATGTTTGTGATGTGCCTAATCTCGACCAAGTCCCGGAGAATGCCGCGTCAGCACTCTGCTCATCTCGTTTCCGGGCAGGTGGTGTGGTGAAATTTCAATTTCCATCCGACCCCTTTTTTTAACTGTTTCAAAAATCTTGTTTTATTGGGGGTTTGTACGTATAGGTGTTAATGATGAAGAAGAATGCAAATGCAAGATTCCCAAGTTTCTGGTGATGGGCCACAGGGGAAACGGAATGAACATGTTGCAATCCTCTGATCCCAGAATGAAATCCATCAAAGAGAATTCTCTTCTTTCTTTCAATGAGGCGGCTAAGTTTCCTATCCATTTCGTTGAATTTGACGTTCAGGTGAGGCTACAATCAAAGAGAAAATTAGTAATCCTTTGCTTTTTATGATTTTGGGAGCACTGATCGGTTTACCTTTGTTTTTCTTTGAATTCCCTTCCCTGGTGTTTTTCTTTCTCTTTTTCCTTTTTGTTCAATATGGATGAACGAAGAACCTTTTGGACGGATCTTGTAATCAAAAACCAAAACAAAAAAATATTTGTTGTAGGTGACGAAAGATGACTGTCCAGTCATTTACCATGACAACTTCATCCTCCATGAAGAAAAGGCTAGCTATCTTTTCACATTTGCTTTCACAGTCGACATCGGTTATGCTATTGAGCAGGACGATGTAGACGAATTTATAAATATAAGTTTAAAAACATATTATCAATAGAAAATATAAAAAAAAATCTAAATTACTACGCATTTTGGGTGTCAATTTCAGGATGCCATTGTTGAGAACAGAGTTACAGAACTTACTTTGGCTGATTTTCTCTCCTATGGACCTCAGAAACTCCCTGGAACTGTAATAATCTTTGATCTTTCTCTTGGGAGTTGGGACTGTACTATGATGTAGGATGACAGTTCTATGTCAACAATCCTTTGTCTTTTGATAAACTATTTTGCAATTCAGGAGGGAAAACCAATTTTCAGGAAACTAAAAGACGGAAGGATCTTCGAGTGGAAGGTTGATCAAGATGCTCCTCTGTGTACACTCGAAGAAGCTTTCCAGAATGTCGATCGATCACTAGGCTTTAATGTTGAATTGAAGTTCGACGATCTTGTTGATTATACAGAAGAAGAACTCTCACGTATACTGAAAGCTATCTTGAAGGTAATATGCTTGTTTCGGATTTGACTGGTTACATTTATGATCATTTAACTAACGAAATAGGCTTCTAAATTTCATAAGCAGGCGGTGTTTGAGAATGCAGAGGGAAGAGCAGTCATGTTCTCGAGCTTTCAACCAGATGCCGTCCTGTTGATTAGAAAATTGCAGAGCGCATATCCTGTAATTGAGGCTTGTTTCTTCGGTATCTGCATGTGGATGTTATGTTCTTCTGGAAGTCATTGACCTTTCTGTGAACAGGTATATTTCCTCACCAATGGAGGAACTGAAATTTACACAGACGTGCGACGGAATTCGTTGGACGACGCTATTAAGCTCTGCGTCGATAATGGCTTGCAAGGGATTGTATCCGAATTCAGAGCTGTATTCAGAAATCCCGGAGCTGTTGCAAGAATCAAAGAATCAAAGCTCTCCCTCATAACCTATGGTCAATTGAAGTATGTTATACAATTCTCAAAGCTTTGTCTTTTCTCGTTTCTAAGCATTGGAATTACATTGCCTCATCCATGCATTGTTTTGCAGTAACGTCCCGGAGGTTGTGTACATGCAATATCTAATGGGTATCGACGGAGTTATCGTCGACTTGGTTAAGGAGATTAGTGAGTCGGTGTCGGATGTAACCCAAGTGGAGGAGGAAGAGAAAAGCTCTTACGGAGAGGACGGGAAGATTGAAGCAAAAGCGAAACCACAATTTTCGGTTGAAGAACTCTCCTTTCGAATGAAGGTTATACCAGAGCTGATGATTCAGCCTTGAGCTGTGTTGTGCATTGTGTTCCTACCTAAATCAAATTAGGTTAATCAAAGTTTGTATACTAAATTACTAACTTGAACATTGTAAAGGACCAAAACTATAATTTAGCCCAAAAACAAATGATATCCACCAACACATCTTCCCTGCTTTGGGCATTTGTTTAGCCCATGAAATTCATTGGTCGATGTTATGAATACTAACATGTCATAAACGCTATCGGCCCAATAAAAGCTTAAGCACTGTTCTTACCCAATATATATATAAATCTTATTTAATTATAGAGTTATCAATATATTTGAAAAGTTATAAGAAAATAAAAAAGCTTTAATACAGTTTTTGAAGAAACAAAATCTAATTTGGATAGCAACTTGCTGGGTGCACCCGACAGATACGCAATTGGATGGAACTCTGATTCACAAACATTACTATCATGTGTCTAACTCAACAACTTACGTAGTAAAGTTGGAAACGTTAAGACTTAAGACTCAACTTGTATGTGTGTGCGTATGGATGCATGCATGCATGCATGTCCTTTTGAGAATGGATAGCATCATAGCATGATATTTTCACATCTTGCTTCACTCTGTTTTACAGAAATTCAATAACTTCTCTTTTTCAATATCATCATGTAGTAGTAAGATACGTACGCATGACTGTTTTGTATACTTGCACATATGTTATTATTCTATCGTGGGAACAACCCATGACTTCATTTTTATGGGTTTATATACAGCGAAAGATCTTGACATTTAGTTCAAAGGACTAATTACTATATTAAGTTTATATACATTTTATTTAGGATATTTTATTACATTTGATCAATGTATAATTATATAGGTAACCACTAAAAGTTTATAAAACTAAGTTTTACGTGCTCATAAACCATTTGCTAATATCTCTTAATATTGATAACTAAATATGGATGGTGGGTGTGCAACCTGCAAAGGCTAATTTTAAATTTATAAAATTTATTTCGGGAGATTAATTTAATATATTGTTTTGTTGAAAAAGATTTGGAAGCGGCTTAGGTCGTACCATGGTCCACCATTTGTACATTTATATACAAAAAAAAGTGATTTACATATGGAATTAATTCATAAAGATAAAAGAGAGCACTCTATCTTTCCTTTTCTTTTTATATGACTAATGTCAAATGATGGCTGTCCTTTACAAAAGAAATGACGTTGTACATAAATGATTGATGTAGAGGGTATTTAATTTATTCATTAATATCATAATATTAAGGCAACCCCATTTGGGGTTACTTTATTTAGAGTGGGAGAGAAATAATGAGAACACAAAGATACATTTCCACTATGAGACTTTTAAAATAGAAAGGGAAAAGACAATTTCCACTGAACAACACATTTTACTCAAAAACATAAAATAATTGAAGCCTTTGAGGTTTGTGTATTAGTCCTTAAAACCCTCATGCAAACACCTTTGACTCTCCACAACTTTTTTTTTATATAAAATAGCTAAAGAAAAAAAAGGGAAGTTTGTGAACGAAACCCAGCTTTTATTTCCATTTATTGTATACGAAGGTTTTTGAAAACTAACTTTTAAACATACGATAATTTAAAAAAAAAGTATGATTTAAAATTTAAATGTTTGAAATTATTATTAAAAAGATAAGTTTAAAAATATAAAAAGGTTTATTATAGATATTATGTAGTAAATTAAAAATAATATAAACTTCTTCAAATACCACTCACGTTTAAATTCGAATTTATTTATATCACTAACATTTTAATTTTAACAATTTTAACATTAATATTTATATTTAAACATAATTATATCACTCTATCGTTAATAATAACGAGGCATCTTCTTGTTGTAACGTTGATCACATAACTCCTTTATTTTTTTTACCGTTTCATCTTCCACTTCAGTTATTGCTTGAACTCGATACAATTTCCTCTCTGGCGTCAACTTCATTGCCTTCCTCGTCTTCTTCGTAGCTTTGCCTTTCCATTCCCTCACGGTGGCAGGCAGTCGAGCTTCGACGATATCATCTTCCTCGAAATGCTAGAAAGCAGACTTCACGCTGGCAAATTTCTTCATCTTCCTCCAAAGCTTAGTCGACACCTCCCCGGATGCAGATTTGGTATCCGATTTAATCCTTGAAACATGATGGTTTTCAACCTTCAGGTGATTGTAGACTTCATCAAGCGTCTGTCCCTCACCTTGGGTCACTGTCGGTTCCTCCGCTTTTGCGTCAGACACCTCATCCAGTGCATAATGGGATAAATTTTCATGGTTTTTCTCCGGCGAGAAGTAACTCTTGAGGTTAATGGACTTAACCCTTTGAAGAAACGACGGAGATCAATCCAGCAGCTGTGGAGAGATTTGGTGTTGAAAAGAGAACTGGAAATCACTTAAATTTGGCGTTCTTTCGTATGAAACATGCTTTTGAGATCTATAAGCATAAAAGTTGATAGATTTCAACCTCTGCAACACGGATGAGGATATAACGAGCATTCGGTTTGTTTCAATGTCTTGTTGATCATGTCTTCCACCATTGCCGTCGTTGTCGGAGGAGGTCAAAGTGGACGCGTTCCAAAACCATCTCCTCCTCAACTTGGTTTTCAAAGAACCATCGATGGGATCTCGATCGTTCGCTCCCGTTCGCATGGTAAGGGAGGGTCATTTCTTAGCTTCGTTTCCTGGTGAATAGATGGTCGGATTTATCTTCTCAACCTGGTGGCATAAGAGTTCACTTCCAGCGCCGAACTCATTCAAACAACTTCCTTGCCCCGCTTCGTTTCCTTCACTCCCCTCCATTCTCCGCTTGGCTCTTAGGATATTATAGACGACTAGCGAACGAATAGTATTAAGCTTTTTACTTCGGGTTTGTTTTATTTTCTTGATGATCATGTCTTCCACCATCGTCGCTGATGTTGGTGGAGGTCAAAGTGGAAGTGAAATAAATGGTGCCCATGGGAGCAGTAGTTTTAATCCCTTCACAAACAACCCTGATCCCAACCTTTGGCATCTTCAAAGCTCCCATCATTTTCATTCACTGTGGTCTCCAACTTCATCTTCAATGGCAGACCGGTCTTCATCTTCAAACGAGCTTTTAACTTTCCTGCTGAAGAATCATCAAGTTCTTGGTTGTTTCTGCTATTTATGGCAGCTTTCAAATGGGTCGTTTTCTTCGTTCCATGCACGAAGGAACGGAACGAGCCATCGCCTATTTCGATGCTGTCGTTGGTGTGGAGCGATATGGTGATGGGTCGTACGTGTAGTTGATTTTTTTGTTTGGGTTTTTTGTTAGTACGTTGAGATTGATGTTGGTGATGAGATTTGAAGACGAAGTTATGTTGAGGGTCGAGATTTTGAGGGAGGAGACTGTGAAAAGAGCCACGTCATTATCATTACGAAAAAAGATGAAAAGTCACATCGTGTTATTAATGGATTAAATGTAAATATCAGTATTAACGACGGGTGGTATAATTGTAATTAATTGTAAATATTAGTATTAAAATTGAAACATAAGTAGTATAAATGAACCGTGTTTAAAGGTAAATGATATTTAAAGTAGTTTACCCTTACAAATATAATATTAAATATATTTACATTTATTAATACTATTATATATAAAATGTATCAATTTAAACTATAATAAAAATATAAAAATGTTTTAAGATAACTCATTAATAATATTTTTATGAATGAAATATTTTATTAAAAATATATCAGTATGTGGATATTAAATTATTACGAGATAACAATTTAAATATTTGTTTTTGACAAAAAATATTATAGAAAATACATTAGTGCTTGCAAATTAAAGAGAAATTTAATATATAACCATGATTTTTATCCACTTTTAAGTAATTAAAATAAATTATTAAGTAAAAGTTATTTTTAAGGATGTTAATATTAAATTATTAAAATAAAATGTAAATATATAATTGAGTGAAGCTCATACATTAGTGAGTGTAAAATTATAATTTACTTCAAAACGTAAAATTAAAAAATAAAAAATCTATAAATCTTAATATTTGTGATTAATTTGAAACCATTGTTTTTAGTATATTTTTTATTTTTTACTTGTATGATGTTGATTTTATGATTAAAATGAATTTGTTAACTAAAAGTGGATGGGACTTATTTATTCAAGTGGGGCGTGAGAGCATTTGCTTGTGTGTATTCTTTTTATGAGCAGGAACATTCATTACACTTATCATTTTGATTATATTTTAATTCTAATCCTGTCCTTATAATTTTATGAAATTCTGGGAATAAGGAGTTAACCCTTCTCTACGGAATCAGACAGTCTTATTCGTTTGTCAAATTTTGAGGCTTACGTTTCACAATTGTACCAGCGTTACCTATGCCTGTAAACGGACCGAATAAACACGAACGATAGTATGTTTATGTTCGTTCGTTTAACTTTAACCGAACAAATGAACGAACACGAACATAAACGAACAAAAAATATTTTGTTTGTGTTCGTTCGTTAAGGAATGTAGCTTGTTCATATTCGTTCATTTAAATAATAAACAAACACAAATAAACGAACATAAACGAACGAATGTAAACGAACAAAATAAATGAACATAAACGAATGTAAACGAACATAAACGAAAATATTTTTTTTTCTTTCCTAACAATTTTAGGATTATATTTTATTTAATTGTTTTGGGTTTTGTTTATTTGTATTTAAAATTAATTGATTTTTAAAATATTTATGGGTATCATATTAAAATTTATTAGGCTTTAATATTTTGAATGGGTATAGAGAGATCGTGCTAAACATAAATGAACGCACATAAAATAACGAACATATTACCGAACGTTCACGAACATAAATGAACGAATGAGTCCTCTGTTCGTGTTCGTTTCTTTAATTAAATAACAAAAAATCTTGTTCATGTTTGTTTCTTTAATTAAATAACACAAAATCTTGCTCATGTTCGTTCGTTTAATAAATAAATGAATAAAAGAACTTCCCACCGAACGGTTCACGAACGATTCGTTGAACGTTCGATTCGTTT